TTTTTTTTTTTTTTTTTTTTTTTTTTTTTTTTTTTTTTTTTTTTTGGTTGGGAGTTGTTTAGTTAATTTACTGAGAGAAGGGAGCGTTCATGTCATGTGGGGACTGAGCTACACCATAAAATAATTTTTTTTTAAAGAAATTGAAGGAAAATAGGCGTGGCTTGCTTGAAATATCAAGGAGAAGCGAAAGTACAAGAAGGGATTCTGTATTTTTCTTCAAATTTTTTCTTTTTTTGGGGCTATGAAAAATTTACGACTTTTGGCGGTGATGGGAGGTGGATCGGGGGAAAAGAGGACTGAGTATACAGAAATTGCATTTGGCGGGGAAAGGAAGATCCCAGAATGTTTAATCGCCGAATGATTTTTTCTCTTTTTTGGAGATTGCCTTTTCATTTGCCATAACTTTCACCGTTGTCTTCATTCACTAAATGGTTTAGCCTCCAGTGGAGCCATTGGAGATCTGAACTTTCCACTTCCATCCTTTTGAAGCAGTTTCGGATTTCGTTGATGGAGTGGGAGTAGGCGAATGAACTTTTTCCACTGTTGACGGATTTTGTGTTTCGATTGATTTCCTGTTGGGATTTAGTTGGAAGTGGTAATTAATTAGCCCAAATCGAGGAGATCGAAGAGGATGGAATCTCGTATGGATCAGTACGAGATCATGGAGCAGATCGGCCGCGGGGCTTTTGGAGCCGCCATTCTCGTCAATCACAAATCCGAGAAGAAGAAGTGCGCTTCTCTTCTTCTTCTTCTTCTTCTTCTTCTTCACTTTTTTCTTCCATTGATGTTTTGATTTCGCACCGACTGATTCGTTCCTTTCGGATCTTCAGATACGTATTGAAGAAAATCAGGCTTGCTCGGCAGACCGAGCGATGTCGAAGATCTGCTCATCAAGAGGTCTGATTAACATTTTTCTAATCTCATTTCGTTTCCCCAATTTGAACAAGTTAAAGAGTTGCTGTTCATCTTTCCATTCCCTGTGTATGGCAGATGGCGCTGATAGCCCGAGTTCAACACCCTTATATAGTTGAATTCAAAGAAGCTTGGGTTGAGAAGGTCAGTATTCGTTTCTTCAATCTTTCTTCACTCCACCGTACTACGTTTCTTGTTGATAGTTTTTGATCTCGAAATGCAGGGCTGCTATGTTTGTATTGTCACTGGATACTGTGAAGGTGGAGATATGTGAGTCAATTTTTCTTTAGAGATTTGCCCAATCAATGATTAAGAAATAGAAACGGTAGTTTAAATCATTTCATTTGATAATTTACCTTCTAAAACAGGGCAGAGCTGATGAAAAAGTCAAATGGAATGCACTTTCCTGAAGAGGTGCTTTCATTTCGTCTGTTCTTATTCTCTCTTCTTTTTTGTTCTTTCTTTTTCACATTTTGATTTCTTGATAATATGATGAAAAAGTAAATATGTGTTTTACTATTGAACAGAAACTCTGCAAGTGGTTTACACAGCTTCTATTGGCGGTTGAGTACCTGCATTCGAACTTTGTTCTACATCGCGACCTTAAAGTATGTGTTTGACTGTTCGAAAATGTCGTAATCGTATTATACATGTACGAATTCTAACCTTTAAGATTCATTTAAACCTTTCTTGGCAGTGTTCCAACATCTTTCTCACTAAGGATAAGGATGTCCGTCTTGGTGGGTATTTCAACTTTCTTCAGTCCTAATTGGTATTTAGGATGAAATTTTGAACTGTTCTTGTGACTTTGTTTACTATTGCATGACCTTAATGTAGGGGACTTTGGACTTGCCAAGACATTGAAAGCAGACGACTTGGCTTCTTCGGTACGTCCCATATACTTGAATTGCTTTGTATTTTGATTCATAGTTTTCTGAAATGAGAGGATTTTGTTGTATTATTTCTTAAGTTAGCAATTGGCTGATGCTGCATTTCTGTTTGGAGATCTGTTTATAAATTTTATGCTTATATATTTGTTGAAGATCAAGGTTTCGATTTGTTAGATACGAGTTGAAATAATAGGGAGATGGCTAAGCTATTTTTTTTGTATGCTTAAAGAAAGTATAATTCAGCTTTTAATTCCTTCACGGAACGTATAATGGCTAAGCTATTTGTGGTTAGGTGGTTGGAACTCCAAATTACATGTGTCCTGAACTTCTAGCTGATATTCCTTATGGCTTCAAATCTGACATTTGGTCTCTTGGTAAGCATTCTGTAACGACACTCGAATACTTTTGGCTTCAATTTTCGGTCTCTAAGTTGGTTCTTTTTTCACCAGGTTGTTGTATGTATGAGATGGCTGCGCATCGCCCCGCCTTTAAAGCTTTTGTAAGAACATGTGCATTTCCATAAATGCTAGTTTTGAAAATTTGGATTGCCTGCCTTTTCTGCATCATCCAAATGTTGCTTTCTTTTAATATTATCTAGACTTGTTTTCTTTCTTTACGTTTAAGGCTCATTTTGTGCTTATGATGCTTAAACGACATCAATCTTCTTCTTAATAAGTAATTAATTCGACATTGGATAATCGTTTTCAGGATATGGCAGGACTGATTAGCAAAATCAATCGTTCATCCATGGGTCCCTTGCCCTCCTGCTATTCACCGTCCTTGTAAGTCTAAAATTTACAATTTAATCGCTAAGTTTGACCATCGAAGATCATTTTTTCATGTTCACCAAACTGAAAATCTGATTTTGAAAACAATGCAAATCGAAATATGTTATTGATATGACGAGGAAGTAGCCGGGTACTTTTTGCTTTCTTTCTTCAGTTTTTGAGGAACCCGTTCCATTAATCATTTCCTTTCTTGGTTTCTCATTTTCAGAATTGTGAACAAATTTTATGAACAAGTGAATATGGTTTGCTGTTTTTGGTTTCGGAAGGCTCGTTTGTTATTTTGCATTCATGAAGCAAACTGCATATTAGCTAGCATTCATATTTTTTATTGAAAGATAATATGCTTGAAAAGCAAACTTCGTAAAATGAGATGACTTATTCTTGATTTCTTGAGCAGTCTAATGCTGAAGCCTTTACTCTATTCTACGTGCAGGAAAACACTCATTAAGGGCATGCTACGAAAAAATCCAGAGCATAGACCAAATGTTAGCCTTTCTCCATATTAACAGTTTACCAACTTTAAGAATTTTCTACAAGCAGGATTTGATGTTATCTATTTTCATTCCTCAATTGTCCAGGCTTCTGAGCTTTTAAAGCACCCGTATTTGCAACCATATGTCGAACAATATCGTCCTTCCATTAGTCCTTCTGTAGATTTTCCTTCAGATAAGCCTAGGGCGGCACGTGATTCTCGGAGAAGTATGGCAGAGAGTCAAAATAGTAACAGTTCAAACAGTGATAGAGACAGTTTGTTTTCGAGTGATAAAAATACTCCAGCCACAGCATCGAACTGTGATGATAAAGTCACTGTTAGTGATATGGCGTCTGTTGATGATCATGATGGATCTGAGACCCTCCTTCCTGGTGAAGATGAGCAAACTCATAATATGTGCTCTCTCAAAGTGAATGATCCGATGCATTCCAAAACCAACCAAGAAGACCATCAATCTAATACTGAATCAAGACGGCCAAAGACTATTCGAAATATAATGTTAGCTTTAAAGGAAGGAAAAGCGAGGGAAAATTTCTCACCAGTTCGAGGCAACCGTGTAAAGTCTGGAGTTGCATCAAACCAAAAAGCACATGCTGAAGTGCCACCTAAATTCATCAAACCCCCAGTGGCAGAGCCTGGTTTCAAGTCTAATCCAGATACACATATAACTGTGCCTACAAAGGCAAATATTGAATCCTCAAGAAGAGTCCAGGTTGTAGCTACTCCAAAGCATCAGGTAGAACAACAATCAAGCTTCATTTATCCGAGTTTATTTTCTATGGTTTATGAGTTATTCATATTTGTTATAGGTACCTGTGGTTGTTCCCACACCAAAGACTAAAACAAGACACGATAATTCTCCCCCGCTCTGTCGCCCGTTGAAACCAGTAGAAGATGGACTTTCTTCAAAGTCGAGGCAAAGAACCCCTCCTACTTTGCTTAGACGACCTTCATTTCCGGCAAGGATGAGGCAAGTTGGGCAAGCTGTTCCAGATGCAGTAAGTTCCATGGAAAGGATCCATCAAAAGGAAACATCTCCAGAGGAAGTGCAGAGTAGCCACCAGGATCATGTTGTGTCTATGGAGTTAACAAAAGAGACGCAACACGCCTCTTCAGAACATTGTTCTAAAGGAATGCAAACAGATAGTAGTAATTCTGTTTCATCTTCGGTGTCAATTCAAGGATTTGAAATTTGTGATGATGCAGCAACACCATTTGCTGATGGAGTAATAGACCCAGTTTTTGACCATCAAAGTATTGAACACGATGAAATTGAAGAAACACATCCACCTAGCTGCTCACCTTCTTTGCAGTACGAGATGTCCGAACACAACCTATTAACGGACAAAGGAAACCATGGAGTTCATGACAAACCAACAGAATGCTCCCTTGAAGCTGGAGTTGAGAAAGAGAGTCCGAGTGTGGAACTCGATCTTCCACTGAAATCTGAAGGAAGATTCGTCTTTAAAGACGATATCCCCATAAACATTCCAAGCAATAGGCCTAATATGGTAACAGAGCCGAATACGATCTCTTCACATGGGGACGACAAATTCACAGTAAGGGAACTTCTATCATCAGTTGCAGAACCTACTGCAACACCTTTGGTAGCTACTCCAAGTTCATCAACCCACAAGTGTTTGCTGCCAGATAAAGTAACCACATTGCACAATCCCTCAGCCGAAAAGCTGGCCAGTAACCATCTTCCTGCAGCTTTTGACGATGTCATACACGTTATACGGCATAGTAGTTTCCGAGTTGGAAGCGAGCAGTCAGTAACAGAAAACTTGGAGGTGGGGGTTCAGAATGTTGATGTGGGTAAGTTGGTTACGGTGGTAAAGGATGAACTAGAGTTGAAGAATGGAACCACTACACCTTTAACTCTCAAATCCAGCAGTTGCTCTGATGCCATGAGTTTGAAGTCGAATACTTGCGATCACTCGGGCATCAAAGAATCGAGCGGAGGAAACCCTCCGACAGTGCCAACAACAAACTCCGATTCATCCGAGCAAACAAAGCCGGTCGCTCCTGTGGTTGAAGAGGAAGTGCCTGCAAAAGAAATCCTGGATGTCAAATCCTTTAGGCAGAGGGCTGAGGCACTTGAAGGGCTGCTAGAATTATCAGCAGAGTTGCTGCAATACAACAGATTGGAGGAACTAGCAGTTGTCCTGAAACCATTTGGGAAAGACAAGGTGTCGCCAAGAGAGACAGCGATCTGGCTGGCGAAGAGTCTGAAAGGAATGATGATCGAAGAGAATGGCAGGAGTTCTTCGTGAATGTGCAGTATGGCTTTTGTGATTTGAAACTTAATTATTTGGGTGTAAAGCTGCTGCACATGGGAGTGCTGCCTGTATTGTAGACCGGTATCAATTTTTTAGTTTCTTGCCTTATTCTGTAGCTTCTTTATTGCATCTCATGGTGTACATAGTGACAATACATATTAATAAACGTTAAATTCTTTTCAAGTGATGGCAGCCAAAAGAAATGTTTCTGAAAGTAAGGGCATTTGAAGAAAAAAAACTTCCCAAAATTCAAATAATTCGCCCCAGTTTACAAATCAATCTCAAATTATTGTTTATTTAAATATTTAGATTTAGATATATATATATATATATTTTTTTTTTTTAAATTTTAAATTTTAATTTCACACTGGCTTAACTGCCACAACTTTATTTTCACTGTCCTAGAAAAAATAAATATCTATATATAAATTCAGGAAATTCTTCTCTTAATTGGTAAGATTTGACGCAGAAAATTCCCGGAAACAGCGTTGGAACCCTATACTTATATCTTCATCTTCTTCAACCTCTTAATTCTTAGTTCTCTTACTCTCTCTGCTAAACAAAGATCGGATCCGCCATGGCAGATCCCTCTAGACCCGTCACTGGCTATCCTGCTTACCCCAACGGCCGGCCGCCGCCTTCCAATTCTCAGCCTCAAGGCCAAGCCTATCCCTACGCTGCTCCTCCTTATTCCTATCCCACCCACTACGCCAACCCCTACGATTCTACCCATCAGAATGCTCGCCTCTCATTTCTTCGTGCTATTATTGCCGGAATCATCGTCGTCTTCATCATCACCGCCATCATTCTTTTCATAATCTGGCTCGTTCTCCGTCCCCAACTTCCTGAGTTTCGCGTCGACTCATTTCAGGTTACCAATTTTTCCGCCGCCTCTCAGTCCCTCTCCGCCTTATGGTTTGTTGGGTTTTCCGTCTTTAATCCCAACAAGAAGATGACCATCTCTTACGACATCGTCGAACCCACCGTCTTTTACAAGAATGAATTCCTTTCCCAGACTCGAGTCCCTCCATTCACCCAGGATAAGAGGACTCAAACGGCTGTTAATGCCACTCTCTCCGCTCTTAATGCCTACATCGAAACATCGTCTGTGAATGAAATTAACGACGACCGCCGACGAGGGACCGTCCAATTCAATGTGGTGGTCTCGGCTCGTGTCGGGTTCCGAGCGGGTTGGTGGAGGACCAGGAGACGATTGCTTAGGGTTCTGTGCGAGGACCTGTCGGTTGGCCTGTCGTCGTCGAATAGCAGCACTTCCGGTAAGTTGATGGGTGAACCAAGGGCCTGCAGAGTGGGTATATGAGTGATTTTCTGCTGTTATAGTCGGTGCTTGATTTAATACCACTTAACCCATATGAGGAATTCATGTAGGCGTAAATGTACATGGATTTTAGGCTGAGTGAGTAGCAGTAGTCTCTAAGTGGAGGTTGTGTATAGCTTATTATACAATTTTTGCTATCTGATTCTGATGTCGATATCTTATCTCCTCCTTTTGGAATAAGGAAAATGGTTTCTTCTGTTATTGAGATGTATCAATCTTGGATCCTGAACTGAGGGAACTGTAAAAAAAATGGAGAATATCTGTTAGTGTCTGCAGACAGGATATGAACAACATTTTTAGTCTCTTCACTAGAAGATATTCGATTTAGCTTATTGCAATCCAGTGCATACCATGATTGTTAACGCCCAAGTTAATTATTTCTGAAGTGATTAGGTGCATGCTTGTTAACACCTTTCCACAATTTGTAATGAGAGAGGTGTAACTATAGGAAGTAAAAATATTCTACCGTTTATATCAAGATATAGCTTGGTAAACAACCTGTCTTTTCTGCGAATATTCTTTGAATTCTTTCTTTTCACACGTCCCAAAAGAAAGCCATGATGAAGTTTTTCCGTAGTAAGGCTTTTGCATTCTTGAAAGGGTTAAGGGTTGTACGCTAAGGCCATGTCCAATAGATATTTTAACTCCCTAGAAAATGTGAAATGTCATCCAAATATACTAAGAATCATTGTCCTGAAATTCTAAGGACGTGTACATTGCATAAATAGGTGGCCCTGACACCAATTAGGAGATTAGGAGAAAGAGTGAGGTAAGACATTCTATTTTCACTTGTGCGCTGGTTTTATAGCTGTTTTAAATCACTTGCACTAATGGTTTTATACCTGTTTTGAGTGCTTACATAAGACTTGATTTTGTTGCTTCTTTTGGTGGCGGGTTAAATCTTACAAGTGCGGAGGTACTTACAGTGATTGGAGCAATTCTCTACTAAGATTTAATGCTCCGTTTCACTGTAGGAGTTTGAAATATTCTTTGGTTCATCCTTTTAAGTTAGTATCATTCTCTAGTAATACATTTGCACAAGCCTTCATTGACTCAGTGAGTACCTCTTATTTGTTGCTGCTTAAATCCAAAATTACTGATGAAGATCTTTACAGAGTAGCTGGAGAACGCTTCTTACTGATAAAGTAATTCTCTTATGTTCATTCTTTTTCTCGTTTGAATAATGTTCTCCAATGTTAGGCCTTGGTAGGTGCCAGCCTAGAAGTGGTAGACAAGAGGGAGGGTGGATAAGCTCAGTAAACGAACGTGAGACCACGTAACAAAATATTTCTTATAAGGGTATGGAAACCTCTCCCTAGTAGACGCATTTTTAAACCGTGAGGCTGATAGCGATTCGTAATGGGCCGAAATGGACAATATTTGCTAGCGGTGAGCTTGGATTGTTATAAATGGTATCAGAGCAAGACAGCCAGCGAGGACGCTAGCCCCCGTGGATTGTGAGATCCCTATCGGTTGGAGAGGGGAATAAAACATTCCTTATAAAGGAAAACCTTGAGAGGAAGCTCGAAAGGGAAAATCCAAATAAGACAATATCTGCTAGCGGTAGGATATGGGTCGTTGGTTGGTTTGTCGGGTATGCTTATAGGCCTGGGTTTCAGTTCTAAAAGCCAAAACTCAGAGTTAGTAGTAATTTCTTCCCATAAATTTCTTGCCACCCACCTCGGTTTGAATGTATTGCCCTTAAATCATGCCTGGTTAGTTTCAAAACTTCTAAACTAGTAGAATATGGTTGAGTTTTCGAGATTCAAGGTTTAGTGATGCTGCCTCTAGGCCATGGACAGAAGAGAGAACACAGGGGTTTATTAGCTCTCTGAACAAAACTTCCCCAGGTGGACAATTCTATCCTGAAATCTGACCCACCCATGTCTCCTCGATTCTATTCTATTCTATTCTTTATGGTGTGGTTTCTCTACAATAGGGTTTAATGGTTAATATAAGAAGCTCAAATCTGGATGCCCGTATTAACTTGCTTCCTTGAATTGAGCATACAATTTCATCCATAGCTTAGTGTTTATATGCCTTCTTTGTTTGGGTACAGATGTGAGATTGATTGTTCTAACGGTAACAGCCCACGAGTTTGAGTTAGAACGTAGGGATGGTGGTGTTTACCACTGGTGCCAAGCAGTATAGAGACAGGGACAGGGACAGGGACATGACTTTATTGAATGAAATGATAATCCATTACATTGCTGCCTAGTTTTGGATCAGGTTTATAGATCATCATATCAGTAGTTTCTATTATTCATGTTAGAGGATTTAACGATGGTGATGCGATGTTGTTAACTTCTAAATGCTAATAATAGGAAGCTATTTGGGTGAGATATTATTATTTGCCAATCACAGTAGGAAAGCCTTGGAATGAGTGTTATGCTATGTCTGGATGCTCTCTCAGCAGGAAATGGACAACCTTGTGTACTATACAAGATTTATGCCTATATTTATTTCACAGTTCAATTCAAAACCTAGCAGATTTGCTCTCTAAAATTACAGTTTGGATGGACAAACCATGTGAGGTTTTGGATTATTTGATGTTTTCCAGGCTGATAAATGCACATTCATTTACATTCTCTCTCACCTGACTTTACTTCGTAAAAAGTGTTAGTCTTTACTCTAGAGAAATTTAAGAACACGTTCTCGTGTGCATTTAATAGGATTATATAACACAGGATTTCAAAGAAAAAGAATATTAGATTTAAATTTTTATTTAAATTTTTAAGTTTTAACAAAACTATTCCATCGAGTTTAATTTGTTTAGTACAAAGTTGTTGAAGGTGAAAGTGTAAAGGGAAAGATGTACACTCCATGTGAAATATTCATCTTTATTGGAGCCTTTTGGTAGTAGTCGTGATCAACAACCATCCGTTGTTGGCTCGTTGGTTAGGCGAGAGCTTCAAGCCCAATTTCTAGTAGCACACCCAACACACAAGCACCACCTCACAAGGGGTGGACAAAAACTACTGACGAAGGACAATGCATCTCATCTTCTCATTGCGTCCTTGCTCATTCTTGTTAGGCCTTTACTTCTCTATGCTTGCCACACGCTTCACTTGAAACTTGATAAGTTTAGGGATAGAAATTGAATGCTTTTTGCTAAAAAATAATTCTCTATGCTTGCCACACGCTTCACTTGAAACTTGATAAGTTTAGGGATAGAAATTGAATGCTTTTTGCTAAAAAATAATTATATAAAATATTATTGTACATATCTTTTCTAAGAGTTCTCAAACAATCCATATGTTATAATAATATTTTAAATGTTTTAAATAGACCAGAAAGTCAAAGGTTTGAATCTCTCCTCCACTTAGAAAAAACATCATTTTTATTTTTATAACTTTATAAAAGGTGGCCAAGAGAAGGAAAAAAGAATACTCGAAAAGAAATTTGTTTAAATAATTACAAAGTTACTATGTATTTTTCTCTAATTTTCATGGGTTAACAACATAAATACATAATATGATCGTTAAGATTGTTTTCGTCTCCTTTTTCTGCTTTATTTGGAATCTATTTGACGGTGAAGAGTTGTCATCTTTTTTGTACCACTTTACTTTATTCCACTTGTTGTCTTCCGGTTACTCTTATTTACGATTCTTCCAATATCTTCTTCTCATTTTCATAAAATTTTTATACAAATATCTAGTAACACCCTATTTTCGGAAAATATGTTTCATAATCATCAAAAGATAAAATTGAAATCGATAAAATTGAGATCTCACGTTGGTTTGGGAGGAGAACGAACCATTATTTATAAGGGTCTCTAACACGGTGCTCTAGGGAGGTGGCCTTTGAAATCCCACGTCGGTTGGAAAAGGGAATGTTTGAACCTCTCCCTAATGTGACATTTTAAAACCGTGAGGCTGACGACGATATATAACGGGTCAAAGTAAACGTGTTTGAGCTGTTACACTAATAGTTGATCGTAGTGGGTAGTGATGGAATAATTTAGAATATAGGCAACTTTTGTTGGGAGATAAGGCAACGCATTTTGGACCCACGAACAAGCATATACTTCCATATCCACCAATCCCAAACCCCAACTGCATATTGAATATACCCTTTTCTTCGTCTCTTGTGCTCCCACTTTACTTCACACACCCCTTCTCTTCTTATAAATACCCCTCTTTTACCAGCTTTACTTGCACATTATTATTACCATTTCACCAATATGAGCGCCAAGGACAAGGAAAGCGCCCACCACGACGAGGACTACCACCAATTCCTCCGCCGCCTCGGCATCGTTGTCCTGACCTTAATCATCATCCTGGGCATTGTCATCTTCATCGTATGGGCCGTCCTCCGCCCCACAAAGCCCAATTTCATCCTCCAAGACGTCACCGTTTTCGGCCTCAACGCCTCATCCTCCCCAAATCTCTTGTCCCTCAGCATGCAAGTCACCATCTCTTCCCACAACCCCAACGACCGCATCGGCATTTATTACGTCACCATGGATGTCTATGGCGCATACCGTGGCCAGCAGCTCACTCTTCCGACTCTCCTCCCCTCCACATACCAAGGCCACAGAGACGTCGTGGTTTGGTCCCCTTTCCTTAGTGGCGATGCCGTCCCCGTGGCCCCTGACGCGGCCTTGTCCTTGCAGCAGGACCAGAACGTTGGGGCGGTGTTGTTCAATGTGAAAATAGACGGGCAGGTGAAGTGGAAGGTTGGCACGTGGATTTCCGGGAGGTACCATTTGAACGTTAACTGTCCCGCGTTTATTAAATTTAGGAACCCTGACCACGCCATCGCTGTGGGTTCTGCCATGAAGTTCCAGATTGTCCAAAGCTGCAACGTTGAAGTCTGATCACCTTAATTCATTCAACCTTTTTTATCTTATTATCCCTATCCTTAGTTTACTATTTTTTTTCTTTTAAAATTAAGTTTTCAAGAAAAGATCTATCTTTTGTGAAAGTTAATAGAGAGGAAGCTCTCCGATATTAATATAATCATCGTCTTGACACCATGTTATCAACCATGTCTATCTTGATATAAGACCGTCATCCAAATATATACTCAAAATGAACAATATCATACTTACATGATATCAAATAAAACATAATTATCTCCCATGATAAAAGATTATTTGGGTGCACCAAAGAACAAAGCTCTTATGGTATAAGTGAGAGACATCTATTTTTTTTTTTTTAATTTAGAAAAAGAAAAGGAATAAAATGACATAAAGAAGAAGGGCGAAATTGTCTTTTCACTTGCGCTTGTCTTCCAATTCGACGGATAAAAATGCGCACCGTAGAATTGGCACCGTGCGACGTCCATTCTCGTCACTTTGCACACCGCCAATCGAGCTACGGCTAAGGTGAGTACTGAATCTTCTTCCTTCCTCCTCGTGGTGGTTTTTCGTTGTTTTCTTTTAGGTGTACCACAGTTTCCAGATTCTTTGTTCTCTTTTCTTGCTGTCGAGAATATTCAAATGGCGAAGAAAAGAATCCATACGCCCATTTACGACTAACCACCGTCTGTGTTATCTGCAAGAAATATTCAAGTATCGAGTATCATTTACTTTATGCCTTCTCTTTTCTTTCTCTTTCCAGTCAGAATCTAGCGCTTTCTAGGAGAATTTTACTCTAATTCAACTGTTTTCTCGTGCTTCGTTGCTTGTTGTTGGAAATCCAGTTTTTGGTTTGATTAATTAGATTTGAAAGGAATTTGATATGCATGGATTCATAATTTTGTGCCAATCATAGTTTATATGTAGCGATGAGATTGTATGGCATTGGATTAGGGCTTTAGGAAGTTCGATTGGTTGCAACATTGGGGAATTCGATTCTTCCTGGTTGGATTTGGGAGATGTTATCATTTCGTTCGTTTTCTTTGCGAGGCTGTCTGAATTTAAGCTATTTGCATATTTGAAATCAGGGTTAGCCAGAGGGTGTTTGGCTACTCAATGCTCCCTGTGGCCTATCACTCCCCTCCAACACACTTTTCTGGATTTAATTTATACTCTGAATCTGCTTTTCTTGTGGTTCATATCTGTGAAGTCATGCACTGGAAGGCAGGCTGCTCCTGATATAGCTCATCCCTAGCAGATATTGTCCACTTTAGCTCGCTACGTATCACCCTTAGCCTCACGATTTTAAAACGCATATGTTAGGAAGAGGTTTCTACACCCTTATAAGGAATGCTTCATTCCCCTCTCTAACCAATATGAGGTCTCACAATCCACCCCCTTGGGAGCCAGCATCCTCGCTGTCACACCGCTTGGTATCTGGCTCTAATATCATTTGTAATAGTCCAAGCCCAACGCTAACAGATATTGTCCGCTTTGGCCTGTTACGTATCGCCGTCAGCCTCACGATTTTAAAATGCGTCTGTTAGGAAGAAGTTTCCACACCCTCATAAGGAATACTTTGTTCCCCTCTCTAACCGACTTGAGATCTCACATCATGAGATCTCCGGTGGCTAATTACATGTTTGTTTGACAATTGTTGAAATGTAGTGTAGACATTGTCCTTTTCTTGATAATTGGCTGTTTTCCATCTGACCATCTCTTGAATTGAGATGTTCTCGACTCCGCACCGTTCATGAGTTCATTTCGTTTCTTTACTCCCTTGTTTATGATTGTCTTTGTATGTTATGTTAGCTTGATAGGTAAAATCTTCTGATGCTGTTGGTTTTTCTGTATAATACTTTTCTCTTACAAAAATCACCGACAACTTCGAATTTCAAGTGTTTTAGATCTGAGCTGCCCAATCCTTCTTTTTCTTTACACACAACTGTACAAGCCTTTCATGTTTGTTGTTAATGTTCATCTGTGCCAGCGTATTAGTATGTATCTGGAACTTCACACTTAATTGCTTGTTCAGATGCTTACTGTCAAATTTGAAGTTCTTTTGATCCAACCGTCATTAGTGTGCACAACTTAATAAAGTATGAAGAGCCTTTATCATATGAACATGTAAAAACCTTTGTTTTGAGAATTTAATTAGTCTCTTAGCTTCTTGGTTATTTCCTAATTGTCTTTGGTTTATGCCTTGAGATAAGTTTTTGGTTTTCAGCTTCTCTGGTAAGCCTACATGGGAAACAAACCCGCGAAGCAATCAGGAGGAAGGGATGAAATGTTGAAGATAGTGCCTCCTTTGGACCAAGCATATATTAGGTGGCTCGCACGGGATCTCGAGAGGATTCATGGCTTCACCCCAAGAAACCCTCGTGCTGTGAAGCCTCCCGATCACTACATAGAGTTCATGCGCTTGAACGGATGGTTGGACGTGAGTTTAGACGATCCTGATCTCGCACGGTTACTGAAATAGCCTTCTCTTGCAACTTGAAAGTGTACCAATGTCAAGTTTTGTGTATCTTCTGCCATTTGCCATTTGAGGTAATTCTGTTTATATCAAACAGTTGCCGGTTAGCAATGTCTGATAACGAGGAATTATGGAATAAAACTGTGTGGTAGCCCAACTTTCACATCAGACTGATGTTTGTAATGCCATACTTATCTCCATGGATGAACTTTCAAGATTTTGCTGCACTTGAAAATCACGTTCTTTATTAGTAAATTTTCTTTGGGAATATTTTTAAAAGAATTTTTTTAAAAGGTAAAAATGAAATGAATAAATTAATTATTCAAAAAGAAACAAAAAGTTATTCTATATTTGGGAATAACGACGTGGATTCCTTCATGGACCAGACGTAAAGCGGAAAAGCCCATTTAAAATTTGGGCCTGTTAAAAGACCATTATCCAGAGCCCAAGTTTGTTGAGCAAACGTCGGCGTGTAGTGACGGTGAAATGAGAGTGGAATGCAACGAGTTTATTAGGTGATGGGGACGGCTTACGCGCCAAATAATCGCCACTCAATTTGCCAACAAAAGGCGCGCATCGCCGATTCGAACGTTTTTTTTTTTTTTTTAACTTGAAGGAAGTCCACTTAGATTTGGGCATATTTATGCAATACCCCTCGCTTTATGCATAATTCGCAAATGCCAACCCCCGTGCAGTTTTGGTTAATTAATCCATTTTTAATATAAAATTAGTTAATTAATTGGAATTAAGAGATAATCGATGAAAACAACCTTGATGACTTTAATTAATCTTGGGTAAGTTGGCGTTTTTGGGTTTAATTCCTTTTGCATTTATAAAAAAGACATATTGAAATATTAAATATATATATATATAAATTTATTTGTTTTATTTGTTTTATTCGTTTTTTTTTAATAAGCGCTTCCTTCCCTCCACATCTATATCCGAACCAAGTTCCCTCCCTTTCAACCTTCCCTCGTTTTCTGCTCTCATTTTCTTTCTGAATCTCTCCCGCTTTTCTCCATTTTCTCAGAATCCAAACACGCAGATCTTCTTCTTCTTCTTCTTCTTCTTCTTCTTCTTCTTCTTCCAATTCCGTTCCTCTTCTATTTCTATCAATTTCCCCAATTGCACCTAAAACCCCAAACTCCCTCCATTTTTGCTCTCTTTCTCTGACCTTCGTACCCAAATCCGCAGCACACCAAGAGGTTACTCGATCTCTGCTCGCCCTTCTCTTTGAGGCTCTTCCATGTCGGGTTCTCGAGCTCCTAACTCCTCTGGACACCTTCCTGAGCAGATCATGCACTCTCTTAAGCGCCAGCTCCCCTTCTCTTCTATGAAACCGCCATTTGCATCTCCTGGGGACTATCACCGCTTCGCCCCGGACCCTCGACTCGCCGATCAAGAAGCTGACGCCATCGTAGTCAGATCTCCGGTGAGTTTGCTTCTGCTGATTTTTTACACGCATATTTCGTTGATTACTTGTCGTTCTCCTCACTGAGTAGTATTTTTGGACCCTTGTGTTTGTGATTCTAGTGTAAAATAGAAAATTATTCGGTTAGTAGGTTTTAAGCGGATCTCACCAATTGAATTAGCTGAGATTAGTGAAAATAGTTAGTTTCAGTGATTTGGTCATAATGAGATTGAGACTGTGCCCTTCGAATACTGCACCGAGAAGACCTTGAATTTTAGCTCAATTTCGGTTACTTTTTTTTTCCAGGGTGTTTTGTGTGACTGAATTAGATGAATTATGCTGTTATCACCTTTAATTCGTATCTTTCTGCTGTATCTAGAAAAGTGTATTGAGTATCTCAGTCTCCCTGCATTCTCAACCAGTGCATTTGTTGATTACTATAACTCGTTCTCTCTCAGAACTTCTTAATTTTCACTGAGCGAACTACTTTTCACTGCATTGTATTTGGTCCTTTTGGTCATTGGGTACGTTGATTAGTTTAAATGCAAGGGTAATAGATTGCTTTCGTCCTGTATCTAGATTGGTAGATGATGCACCGTTTGTATCTATGAGCTTGAAGGATTTACTATTGTCAACCAATACTAGAGGCTGCCAAGATGGACGATACCCCCCACCTCTTCCTATATAGGCAAGCGACAAGTTTGTTGCCACAGTGTTAGAACCTTGATGCAAATAGATGATACTTGTGAGATTTATTTCATAATTATTTTTTAAAGAAAATATGCTAAATCTAGTAAAGGATGTGTTTCTTCAATAGCAAGTTCTCAATTATGATTATAGTACATCACCGATGCTGGATATGAACAAACAATACTGGAAGTAACTATCTCAAGGGATGACATCATAACGGTATTAGATGACTTGATCAAGTCGTGCAGTACTATTGTGAGTTATATATTCAACCTCGGATATCATCTAAATAATTGTGGTTCAGTGGTAAAAAGGGCCAGCAAGAAATACATTCCATTTTCCTCGGTTGTAGGTGCCATCCAATTCTTTTAAGGGCTGCATCTACTGATCATCTGTGGTCATTAATTTTTGTATTCTTAGGCTACTATCATAAGTTTTATAATGATTATTCTGAAAACTTAATTGAACTGCTATTATGCATTGTTTGAATAACCTAGACTCTTGTACCCCTGATGGTGTAGTCTATCAAAAATATTTTCCATACTTGTTATCTTGATTTCATAATCAAGATTCTAGACACTTGTGGAATGCCAGTGATTTGCATAATTTATATGGTAGGATATTTCATACTACACTATAATAGAGGAAGGACGGGCAATGTCTTATTTACTTTTATTTTATTTGTTTATTTTTACTGAACTAGGTTTTTTTTTTCATTTGAGGTTTATTGTTTTTTTCTTTGAATGGTTCCATCTTTTAAAACATTGTTCTCAAATATACCCTTTATGTACTGATGGCAATCCAACTTTTATAAACGTTTGTCATTTACTTAAAAAATAGAAAACTAGATCAGTATTAACAGGTTTAATGATAATTATGGGATAGCATCTTTCAGTGTTCATTATTGTTGTAAATTGCGGTAGTTTTGATATTACGATATTTTGGGGTATTTATACAAATTTCTTATGTGGAAAGGTTGGTCAAGTGATGGCCATTGGAGGACTTTTGCATGCCTCAACCCTGATCCTTCTCATCTATATGTTTTAATTTAAAAAATCGGTACACTCAGCATAACCAAAATAATAATTCTTGAGCTCAGCGACAAATGATCCTCCCATACATTGTTAAAGATTTTATTGTTTGTTGAACATCCAGTCAGAGACAAGTCTAAGATCTTTTCTTCCCATGCTTTCTTAGCCATTTGAGGGTTTGAGAGGAGACATTCTCAAGGTTTAAATAGCGCTTGGTGGGTCTTTGGATTTCATTTGTTGAAAGCCTCCTTTTAGACTACTCGAACTAAAACCTTCAGTAAATTTTTTGTTCCCTTGCTTTACATCAGTTTAAAATTGCTTTTATCAAAATATTTGGATGTTTGAAAGGCTTTCTTTTGCTTTGGTTGGAAGGATGTGCTGCAACCTACAAGCAAAGGAACCATTGGTTCTTGAAGCTTGCAACTAAACAAAGTTGTGCCGCTGCTTGATAAGACCTCACATGCTTTGGGTTCCATGGATGCAACAGATATTAATCTTCTTTCTAGATGACTTGCTTAGGATTGGAATTACTTTAGGGTTAATAGTATAACAATTTGCATCGGACAAGTGTTAATGGAGCAACTGAGAATTAGTTCTATCTGATTTATATTTCAGGACAAAGTTTTCTAGACTTATGGTCGGTGTTTATTTTTTGTCTCTATTTTCTTTATTATTAAAGCTCTCTGATATTAATCATTTTCTTGCATTAACTTTCCTTCTCAGTTTACGTACAATACTGTATATTGCATATTTTGCCATGCTTATTTGAAATCTTGGATCCTCTTTACCAGCAATTGAAGCGGAAGAGTGAGGTAGCAGATTATGAAGCTGACTCAACCGATAGAGCAGCTGGTCCTAGATTTTCTGAGGTAGCTAACAGTCCCCATCAAACACCTGTATCTGTGAAAGGAGGAAAGGGAAACAAATCAAGGCTTACTAAATGCAGTAGATCGGGGCCACAGACTCCCATGTCAAACGTTGGTAAGTTGTATATCATACATGTTGGTACCCTTGGTTTTAAGTTAAAATTGCCATATGTAAAATACCTTCTCAAAGAACTTCTTTTGCTAAAGAAATTGCATCATTGGTAAATTAGAGAAAAAAAAATCAATTTCTTCCACTCTTTCTTTCACAAAGTTATAATACATTAATGGAAAAAATGTTCCGAGTTTCAGGTTCACCTTCTGCCAACAATCTTACTCCAGCTGGTCCATGCCGTTATGATAGTTCTCTTGGTAGCTTGTTACTTCTGATGACTTTGTTGTAGCTGTCTTATATTTCCTACCAGCTCATGTTCCTAATTTTAGTGACTTTCATCTAGGTCTCTTAACAAAGAAGTTTATTAACCTGATCAAACAAGCGGAAGATGGTATTCTTGATCTCAATAAAGCAGCTGACACGTTGGAGGTTACTATGCTTCTAGAAGATTATAGGCTTCTATTGTGAAGTTCAATTAGTTGACATTTTTATGCTTTTATAGGTACAAAAAAGACGAATATATGATATAACAAATGTCCTCGAAGGAATTGGTCTCATAGAAAAGAAGCTTAAGAACAGAATTCAGTGGAAGTATGTACTATTACATACATTCTTTGGAGTTTCACGGTTTATTATTCGTTAGTATTCCTTTCTTGTTATGCTACTTATTACTTGGGTAATTGATTGATTAGGGGGCTTGACGTCTCAAGGTCAGGGGATGTCGATGACAATTATGCTGGTCTACAGGTATGCAAAAAACAGGGCATTTTGACTATGTCCATTTTAGTTACTTACGATTGTTGCTGTTTAAGATTGCTGTTACTATTTGACCTCAATGCGAACAAACTTGTACTCTATTGAAACCAACAAAATTGTGTTTGTTGGGTGGAATGCTAGCCTGAAATCTGCAAGATATTATATGTGAATAGGTACTCTTATCGAAAAATATTCTATTATGTTCGTTTATGCCCTTTAGTTCACATTCTATCTCAATATTATTCTTGACGTTGGTAAGTTTCTCTTTGGTGAAATCTTTGTTTGCAAATGCTTGCACATTTTAATTTCAAGCTACCAGATTTAGCTTTAACCATAGTTACATGTGCAGGCTGAAGTAGAGAACCTTTCCATGGAGGAGCGTGGATTAGACGAACAAATAAGGTTGTTTAACTGAATCCTTTGTTCAGTCTTTGAATGAAAATTTGTGTTCCCCTATTGTTATTCCAAGGCTTTTAATAATTGCAGAGAGATGCAGGAAAGATTAAGGGACCTCAGTGAAGATGAGAACAACCAAAGGCAATAGTTTTCACCTAGATTCACCTCTACATTGTTGTTTTTTCTTTTAAACGTAGAATTTAAAGCTTATTCTTTATTTAATTGTTAGGTGGCTTTTTGTAACCGAGGAAGACATCAAGGGTTTGCCCTGTTTCCAGGTTAGTTTATCATATATGGAGTTGATTGCAATAAATTTTGATTTACAAATATAGAAATGTCGTTCCATTTCTAATTATTGTGTCTATATTTTGCATCTACTAGAATGAAACTCTCATAGCCATTAAAGCTCCCCATGGAACCACTTTAGAAGTTCCAGATCCTGATGAGGTAATTTAATTGTAAAGGCTTGATGTAAAAGGTACCTATTCACATATTATATGTTCCAATCACTTCTCCTATCATATGTCAGGCTGTTGACTACCCCCAAAGGAGGTACAGGATAGTCCTCAGAAGCACCATGGGACCCATTGATGTTTACCTTGTTAGGTAACGTCTTATTTTTTGGTTGTTGAGGAATGTTTGGCTTTGTACTGAAACACAACCACTATCTATGGCCATATTAATGAATAGGCTGGGAATTGGAACTGCCCAGTGTTCACAATATCCCCTTTTCCTACTATCAGTATCCTCCTTTTCCTACTACTCCTAAAACTGTGATATGAATTTCCATTTTGTAGTCAGTTTGAAGAAAAGTTTGAGGAGATAAATGGAGTGGAAGTGCCGCCAAGCTTGCCGTCAAGTTCAGGCTTTAATGAAGCACCTGCAACGACGATAGGAACAGAGGATACCAGGGGAAAGGAAATTGAAACGCGGGAACAAGATGTACACAGAATGTGCTCCGATCTAAATGCTTCGCAGGACTTCGTGGGTGGAATTATGAAAATTGTTCCCTCCGTTGTAGATGTAAGTCTAATTTTTCAAAATTAAGGATTGGGGGAAGGATCAGGGGGACTAATACACCTTACTTAAAAACAATAATTGGTTGATTGGGATACGGAGAAAATAAAGGCAGAAGCATCACGTTAGTTTCTAAGAAATGGTTGGTTTCGTTTTGGAGGGCTTCATGCATGAGAGCATGAACATTGTTCTATCCGTTGGAGTGAGCCTAGATTCTAGAAGATGCAATCTGTATAAAAAAAAAAAGGAATTAATAACACTTGCAACAAGTTAGTTTTTCCATAAAATTGTCGGAGGACAAAATAATGAAATGAAGCATTTCAGATGGGGAAGGGTAGTTTAGTTATGAAACCTTCGATGGTCAGAGAGCTGTATTTGTCAATAGTCACCCATTATTCATCCGAGGGGAAAATGTTTTGAGTTCATTATACAGTTTATGTAAATTAAGGATGTATTAGGACAGAATAAATGTTTGCAAGCATCTGATATCTTTGTTTCTTATTCAGAGTGATGCTGATTACTGGCTCTTGTCTGATGCTGATGTTAGTATCACTGACATGTGGAGAACTGAACGTATCCTCACAATTTAAATCTATCCGCCTTCATAGTAGTTTGAGTTTTCCCCTTTGTAATATCAAAGTGATACTGCATACACACCTTGACTCTTCATGTAGCTGGCGTTGAGTGGAATGATTTGGGTACATTTCATGAAGATTACAGTATTGCCAATGACAGCACCCCCGAAACCCAGAATCCACTTCCCAATAATGCACCTGATATGCCTTCTTCTGCTAATCCTTCTAGCAGCTGAAACTGTAAAGGGTATCTGTCTAGATAAATCTTGATGATAAATGCTACGGTCGTGCAAGAACTTGAATGATGGATGTATGATCCCTGTGATCCTTACTTAGAACCGGGAGGATTGGAACCGATTATCTCAGATTTGGACCAGCCTCCCTCCATGATAATTCCTGGAGAAGCATCTCTACCCAAAAAGCTAGAGGAAACTGCTGATGGGAAGGGCTCTGGTGTACAGTTTAGTGCCAAAAATATGTAGTAAATAAAATAGTCATTTCTGCATTGTACAATTCTTTGTTTCCAGATAAGAATAGCATGTGTAGTACATTCATTTTAAGCCAAGTTTAGTTCAGTTCAATTTGCGTCTCACGTGCAAAGCTGTAACCCCACCCTCCACCCCCCAGTTGAATTATATTCTTAGTAGTTCCTGGGGTCTAGATATACGTACATTTAAATGGTTCGTTTAATTTCTGAAGTTCGAGAAATGGCTGATTTTAAATCGGTTAAATTACACCATTAGTGCCAAATAGGTTTCTAAACTTAAAAGAATGTATTTAATAGATCATCAAACTTTTCGTATTGTGTTAGGATTGCATCAAACTTTTCATATTGTGTTAGGATTGCACAATAACTACTAGGATATTTAAGGGGTGAGACTCTACAACAATGCACAAAAGAATAAGAGAGAGAACATGCAAGAGAATATTAATTAAAAATTTAACATGCAAGAGAATATTAGTTAAAAATTTATATCGATGACGGTGGAGAATGAGATATTAATGACGGTAGAGAATGAGAAGAGTATATATAGTTTTACTATAATAACAATTGAATAAGCTGGTAGGCTCTATACACAACAATGTGCTCCCCTACTTTCGCATCCAGGGTGGGTAGGGACGGTCAAGCTACCTTTGCTTTTGAAGTTCCTTCGTAGATCTTTGGATTTCACCTCTACACACGAAATTCCACTTTCCTATGTATAAGAAATTGAGACTCTTTAACCATTTTATTAACTTCGAAATCAAACGCCCATCTGTATGGGATTTAGTATGCAATCTATATGGGATTTAGCTGAATATACACTATCAAATAAAATAATATCTTAGATAAAACTCTAACAAATGACTAATACTGAGAGTTATGCTAATTCTCTTCCTCTACTTTCTTCCCAATCCAAGTTGCAACCACTGAAGTAAGGGCCACCGTTGGAGGAAACCTTATTGGAGAAGTTGCTTTATGCGCTGCATATGCCAATGCAAACGTTCCAACTTTCTCTCCATTCCCATCGACCGAAATTCCTACCTGCAAATTTTCAAGTGTTACAAACAAAACCAATCTCCCTTTGTGAAACATATTTGATCAAGATCAAGATCAAACGAACTCGGGAACCCTTCCTAAATGCCATTACCTTCTGCAGAAGAGCTTGAACGTCGACACCGGCACTGATGAGCGCGTAACACACAGCGAAAGAGATCAGGGATAGAGTTATGGAGGTGGCTAAATATGCACCTCCATATTTTGCAAGCAGCTCCTTTGCCTGATCCCCCTTTGATTTGTCTTTTCCTTCACCCTCCTCCTTTGAGCTAAATATCTGCATACCAACATGAATTTCTCATTTGCTGTTACTAGGAAAGGATAACCAGCCATTATTCTTTGGCATTGATCTTAGCAGTATGCAAGGCAGAGATATGAACAATTGAGACAGAAAATCAATATGTTAAGAAACTATTTGTCACGGTATATTGAAAATCCTACGGACCTTCTGATTGGATTTAATTTGCTTTCTTCTTTTTACTACTTTCAAATCGTGAGGAGGTATTGATAGCAAGTACATACATTATCACCAAAAATTATGTTCTAGTCCATTGAACTTTTTGGCTGAACATAATATGAACAATTGAAACAGAAAATCAATATGTTATTGTTTGCCACAACAACAATCAGGAATGAATAGACTGCAAAATATTCTTTCTAAGGTAAATCCGTAATTGAAATGTACGCTATCAGTCTTCTAACTTCTATCTTCCGTTCAAGTTCATAGCAGATTGATAGAGGAAAAGGAACGAGGAGAATGGTACCTTCCAGAGACCAGCTTCAAGTCCATACTTCTTGGTAACTTCATCTGCTGAAGAGGAAGACGGAGATTGAGATGGAGATGGGCGTTCAATTTCGCCGGTTTTCTCTTTAAGGGCTTGAACCCTGAGCCTTTTGGGATTGAATTTCGGAGGTCGAACAGAAGAACTAAAGGGAAATCTGAAATTTGTGTCGGGAAAGGAAGCAGGAGAGGAAATGAAAGAAGATGAAAAGCAAATTGGAGAAGGAGCAGTCGCCATTATCAGAAAATCAGAGGTCGGAATCTAGTTATGAGGCATGCCCTCTGAATTCGGAGGATGGGAAACGAGAATCCCACGAAATCAAAGAGAGACAGAATTTTATGTGAAGCGTTGTAAGCCAGATATTTGCTTCAACCTCAATCGTCTTTCGTCACCACCATTCTTCTTCACACAGTTCCAAACAGAAAAAGTTTAAAAGCCCAATCCGCATAAAGTTAAAGGCCCAAAAGACCAATACGCAAAAAGCTCAAAGCCCCAATCCGAAAAAAGTTCAAATCCCAATCCGCACAAGTTAAAACCCATAAGCCCAATCCAGAAAAAATTAAAAGCCCAATCCGCACAAAGTTACAAGCCCAATACGCACAAGTTAAAAACCCAAAAGCCCAACCACACGAAGTTAAAAGCCCAATACGTACAAGTCAAAAGCCCAATAAAACAAAGTCAACAGCCCAAAACCCCAATCCACTCAAAGTTAAAAGCCCAATACGAACAAGTTTAAAAGTCCAGTCCGTACAAAGTTAAAAGCCCAAAAGACCAAAAGCCCAATCTGCAAAAAGTTAAAAGCCCGAAAGCCGAATCCGCAAAAAGTTAAAAGCCCAATACGCACAAAGTTAAAAGCCCAAAAGCCCAATCCACACAAAGTTCAAAGCCGAATACGAACAAATTAAAAGCCAAATCCGTACAAAGTTAAAAGCCCAAAAGCCCAATCCGCAAAAAGTTAAAAGCCCAGTCCGAACAAGTTTAAAGCCCAAAAGCCCAATCCGCAGATTAGAAGCCCAATACGAACAAGTGAAAGCCCAATCCAAACAAAGTTAAAAGCCCAATCCGCAAAAAGTTAAAAGCCCAATACGCACAAAGTTAATAGCCCAAACGCCCAATCCAGACAAAGTTAATAGCCCAATACGAACAAATTAAAAGCCCAATCCGTACAACGTTAAAAACCCAAAAGCCCAATCCGTAAAAAGTTAAAAGCCCAATACGCACAAGTTAAAAGCCCAAAAGCCAATTCCGCAAAAAGTTAAAAGCCCAATACGCACAAAGTTAAAAGCCTAAAAACTCAATCCGCAAAAAGTTAAAAGCCCAATCCGTAAAAAGTTAAAAGCTCAATCCCTACAAGTTAAAAGCCCAAAAGCCCAATCCGCAAAAATTTAAAAGCCCAATACGCACAAAGTTAAAAGCCCAATACGTACAAGTTTAAAAGCCCCATCCGTACAAAGTTAAAAAAGCCCAAAGCCCAATCCGTAAAAGTTAAAAAGCTCAATCCGCACAAATTAAAAGCCCGAAAGCCCATACCGCAAAAAGTTAAAAGCCCAATACGCAGAAAGTTAAAAGCCCAAAAGCCCAATCCACACAAAGTTAGAAGCCCAATAGGAACAAGTTAAAAGCCCAATCCGTACAACGTTAAAGCCCAATCGGTGTAAAGCCCAAAAGCCCAATTCGCACAAAGTTAAAAGCCCAATAATAATTATAATTATTTTAGAATTAATGTTTATAAATTTATGCAGACCGGTTAAAATATATGGCTAGCTCAACAAGATCAAACATTCGAAGATGCATATACCCACCGGTAGCAGATATTGTCCTCTTTGGGTTTTTACTCTCTTGCTTCCTCTTAAAGTTTTAAAACGTGTCCATGAGAGAAAGAGGTTTTCACGAATGTTTGGTTTCCTCTCCAAGCAAAGTGGGATCTCACAATTGGGAGCCCAATGTCCTCGCTAGCAAACTGCTCGGCGTCTGGCTCTTATGCATGAAAACCATAACATAAATCATACACAATCAAACAATCACAAGCTCAACAGGGAGATAACGTCCATCAATCACCTGAGCACATATCACAATATCTCTTCCTCCATACCACAAAAGAAGACATTAAATTAGACATTTTTTTCAATTCTCTCGTTTCAAGGTCAATTTCGTAGTTTTATCATGTACGTGTAATAATGTCCAAATTATTCATTCTATGTTCTAATCATACATATTTTAGCCACCTAAGGTACATTATGCTCGCATGCTAGCTTGTCCTAGCAATCCCTACAAGTATCACTTGCCTAAAATTCAAGTGATTACTTACCAAGAATGCAGCGTACCCTTCAAAGCTCGCTTTTTCGTTAGTTGGGAACCCAAATTTTCTTGAAAGTTTGCTGGTAGGTCCTCAATCATATTAAATTTAAGTCCGTATCAAAATAGGGACGAAAAATAGTCGAACAGGAGTCAAATCAGGGTAAAAGGGAACCTCACGCACTCAGAGGGGGTTCGCTTGCGTGTACCACGCCCCGGGTGTAAAGAAGTCGCACTGGGGCACTTGACACGTGTCGCCCACTGACTTGCTCCTTCGACATCGACAATGTGGGTTCGGTCCCTGAAGCATGTGGATTTTTCTCGTCATTTTCTCTACGCGACATGCGACAGACGTTGATAGGGCGTAAGATCGGGTCGGTAGTCCAGGTCGTGCCTGTTCTTGGGTCTTGTAGCGGGTACTAGTCTTCGAATCCAACTCTATGTGGATTTGTTGATTTTCTTCCGCGAATGAAGTTAAAGAGTGAATGACGCACGAAGAAGCATCACAAAATACTGCTTGACAATAGGCAAAGGAGGAAGAAATTATAGCCTTCGAACAAAATCAAACTTTGAAACTAGATATCAAACTCATCTCTAGCAAGTGAGTTTAAGAAATGATGTGTCTCTCATATGGATTAATAGAGAGATACAAGGCTCAGACTATAGTTCAAGGTTCTCTCAATAACATGGCATATGGATATTATGGTTCTCATATAGGTTCCTCCTCCACTTGTGATATATGAAATTTTTTTTTTTTTGTTTTTTTTGCATGGAGAGTTAGACACGGAGATCTATATGGATCAACCAAAGAATTTAAAAATTTGGTGTCATTAGTCAGTACAAGCAAAGTCCAAAGAAGCCTAATTTAGAATGCAGCTAGACGGATCTAGAGATATGTCTAAGGTACAATCGATTATGATATTTTGTACAAAAGAAGCAAAGACGGCAAGCTAGCTAGGATATCATTGTAACACTCCAAGCCCACCGCTACTAGATATTGTTCGTTTTAGCTCGTTACGTATCGTCGTTAACCTCATAGTTTTAAAATGCGTCTGCTAGAATAAAGTTTCCATGCAATTATTTTATGAATAATTTGATTAGTTTATATCATAAATACTCCTCCACCCCATCAGGGTTTTCATTTGAAGAAACTCAAGCAGTTTCAATTAAAACAAACGTAGTAATATTATACAATAAATAGTATGAATGTTTTCCACAAACAGCTGTGTTCAACGACACCTAACTTTTTACACGTACTCGTAAATAATAATTTAAAATAATATGAAAGAATAAAATAAGAAAAAGTTGGTTAGTAGAAGCAAAAGTGGAAATTTGTACATATCCATAAATATAATATTTGTGAATTACAAGAAAAGAAAAGGAAGCAGAGGTCAGAATTTAACGGTGTAGCAGAAGGCGACAGGAAAAAAAAAATGGCAGAAACAACAACATTGCTTTCTCTTCCAGAACTTTGAGTTAGTTTAGAGAAAGATAATGAGTATTAAAATTAAGTCCCATTTGAGTTAATTTCGTGGAAGATCCGAGTTTATAAGTGAGGAATACTATCTTCATTGGTATAAGACTTTTCGACTTTACAATATCATACCATTGCGTAGATCCATAATTTCTAACAAAAATATCACAAACTAAACTAACCCATTTTTTTATTGATACCTATTTTGGTATTGCAAGTATATATATATATATATATATATATATATATATATATATATATATATATATATATATCGAGATTGTTGCAGTAATTTGTGTAGGAAAAAGTTAGGATTATTGTGTAGGGATCCATAGTGATAGAGTGAGATAAAAAGGACACAGAAAAAGATGCACATGTTAATTAGTGATAGCAACCACAGGGCAACAACGTATGGAGGAGAAACAGAGGATTCAGAAAGTTAAGCCTAGGATTCATGATGTTATAAAAAAAAAAAATTAGAAAAAAAAGCGAAGAACATAGAAAATGATGATGAGAAAGGGTTGATATTATTGATAATAATGGCGGTGTGGGTTGGCTAGGCATGATGCTGCTGCTGCTGCTGCTGGTGCTTGAAGAAATCAAGGAAGACGTTGTTGTGGCATTTGGGGCATTGGGAGCTCTTCTCGGTCAACATCACATACATGAAGCACCCCGGACATCCCACCAGCATCATGGATCTTGTTATTATCTCTTCTTCCACGCCCCCCTCCCACCCCAAGCACGAATTCTCCACCGATATGTCCGATGACGACCCCGACCCCGACAAAGACGACGTCGCTGGCGATGGCAACCGGTTCAGGTTCACTCTCAACTCGACCTTTGGCTCGCTACTTCTCGACCTCTTGCTCATCGTCCTCTTCAAAGTCGTGCAAAAAAAAAAAAACAAACAAACAAACAAACAAAAACAAATGAACATGAGTTTATCAGAGAGGGTTACGCAGTGTGACTGTGAGAGAGGGTTACCAAGTTTGGTTTGTAAGGGAAATTGGAGCTTGGAGAATGAAGAAAGGAAGGATGAAATTGTGGGTGACTGACCGACTGAGTGAGGTTTGATAGGAGGGGTGAGGGTATTATATGGGAATTCAAACCTAACTAAATAATAATAATAATAAGAATAATAAGAAGAAGAATAAGGGAGGGGCCCTTGGAAATTAATTCATTCACCACATTATTATTGTTATTATTATTATTATTATTATTATTATTATTATTATTATTATTATTGATGTTCAATTATATAACCATAGACAACCCTCTTTCAATATCAATGTCCTAACCCTATTCCCTCTTCAGATTGCAACAACACAACAATCTTCCCTACCTCTCTACATTGTGTTTTGTCTCTTTCTATTTTTTTTTTTCGATCTTCTAAATCTTTAGTCAACTTTGTGTCGGTTAAGACTCGAATGTTCTAATTTTAAGTGGACTATTGTGAGACCCCATATTAGTTGAGAGTGGAACGAAACACTCTTTAGAAGGACGTGAAAACCTCTCCATAGTAGATGCATTTTAAAACTATGAGACTGACGACAATACTAATATGTCAGAAGAGCAGACAATATCTAATAGAGGTAAGCACGTCAGAAGAGCAGACAATATCTAATAGAGGTAAGCTTGTGCTGTTACAACTATTAATTTTTAATCTTCCTCTGTCCATATTCAAATCTTTAGTCAACTTTGTGTCTTTTAAGACCCAAACCTTCCAATTTTAAGTGGACTATTATGAGATCTCATAGAATGTGAAAGGAAGCATTCCTTAGAAGGTATGGGAACCTCTCAATAATTACCGTTTAAACCCTAATTATAATGACTGGTCCCAGTCTCAAATCAATTTATTCAAATCAATAACAAAAATAATGTAATGTGACGTTTTTCTTAAATCATGATATAAATTTTATGTAGTTTTTTTTTTTTTTAATAAAAAAAATCACGTAAGATGATGATATCCGAAGCATTAGTAATTATCCCTTCACTGTTCAGTTTACTGTGCACAAATAAATGTTATTTTCTTATTTTTGTAAAAACAATGAATTTATTTATCCAAATATATTTAACATTATTTTTTACCTGACTTAAAATTATTGAGAGAAGTAGTGACTCTTATAGGGTAGGAGAACAATGTTGTTGTTATTATTATTATTCTCTTTATTTTTATTTTTATTTTCCTCGACTAATTAAAATATATAATTTTAATTAAATAGTAAAAATATTGAATTTATAGGAGAGAGTGAAAGAGGTGGATTAAATTATTGAAGGGGTAAGATAGAAGAGGGGAATATTGTGAATAATTGGATACGTTTTTATGAACCGTATCCAAATGTATGCTATATCATATTTGCTATGGTGGGTGGTGGGTGGTTGAAGTAGCAATTAATTATTCATACTTTCTACTCTCCATAAAATTATTAATTACGCTCCTCTCATAATTCTCATCTAATTGTTTCTTGCATTTAATTATTACTTTCTATTTTTATTCATATATATATATATAAATAACTTGAATTTAGCCGACATAAGGACGTGAATAGCTTAACTTGCGAAGACTTTAAGATTAAATATGCATGGTGGTCCAATCTCCTTATTTCTTTTATAGTCTAAAATTTAAACTCAATCGTTCTTCGTATGGTCCATGTCTTGTCATTCCGTTGTTGTATAAAATTATATTTTCTTAATTAGTTTCAAACGAACCATTTTCTTTCAATATTTTTAAAAGAAAAATAATAATAGGTAAGACAGATTTCAAAATTTTACATCGGTTAGGAACCAATATATTATGTCTAGTACAAATAAGTATAGTGGTTGAGACTTAGAATGTTTGATTCTATGAGAATAAGTAGATATAAAGTGTGACAAATAATTGTGTTGTTGAAATTGAGGCGTGACATATTCTAATCAATAATAGTGTTGAATAGGATAACGGATGAATCTAAGCTAGAGGTGGCTTTAAAGACGCACTAATTTAGCGAAAGAAAAAAAAAAAAAAAACTAAGTGATGGGTAGGTCAGTGGGTGTCACGTTGACTGACATTGTATTTCGGAAAAATCAATAATGTGATGGTAGTCCATACTCCACAGCAACAAAATTGGAGTTTGGTATCGCCTCCAAAGCCCCACATTAATATAAATCTTTGTTTTAGGAAAATGAAAATCTTTGTTCGAGGATTTCTATGCCCACCATTAATATAAATCCTAAAACAATTTTCCCTACCCAACTTTATTTAACGGTTGACCAACTTCGGCACTTTTAATTTCTTGTCTCCAAATTATTTATACGGTGTTATATGCGTTACATCTTATACTATTCGATGAATATGATGTTCATGCATACATTTGTTAGGTACATTGAAAAATCAGTTATAAGACCTCATGCATATTTATGAACAACTTAATGAAAAATATGTGATAATTACCTAATTTGCGATCAGTTGGGGTAAAATATTCCAAGACTCCCGCTTATACACCATAAAAAATAATAATAATAATAAATAAATAAATAATAGTATAACTTAGTAAAACGAGTTAATTGCCTACCCGAACTATAGAAAAATGGCACGAATTAGGTACAACAAATAACTTTAGTCACTTGATGAGGCAAACATTCCCTCCTTAATACCAAATTTCCAGCTTTTCGTAAATAATATGATAGGCTAATTACTTGAACTATCAGATATTCCGACCTATAAAATTGAACATAATCCATTTTATATGACATGAGGTAGATTAACTTACCCGACACCAAATGACTCGGTTGCATAGGTGATGGATCCCTTAAGAAAGATATTCTACTAACAATTGGCACCCAAAAAAACATACCCAGTTCAATTCACATATTAGTTTTCTCAAAACATTTAGTGAGTAGACATTTGATAAAAAGAATAATAAGACATAAATTCATCTTAAACAGTTAAAAGATGAAATTTAAAAAAAAAAAAAAAAAAAAAAAAAAAAAAAAAAAA